GCCCAACGAATTGATCCCCTGCTTGGTGGGAAGGGCAGGCATGGCTGGGACAGCTTCCCTGAGAGGCTGGAGGAAGGTGGGAGACCTGCTGCTGACGCTGGGTATGTGGGTGTGGGTAGGAGCAGGGCCAGGCCCCTCGCATCCTGACAGGGCCCTTTCATGGGAGGCTGGGCCTGTTTTCCCAAAACCATAAACCGTACTGGAGGTTGAATTCTGTGCTGACTGGAGGAGTGGGGAGGCAGTCCCCAGACAGGTTACAGCTCACCAATAGAGAGCAGAGTAGGCTGGAGCCTGGGGCTCGTTGCTGCAGCTGTGTCCAAGTGGCCTCCAGTAGGGACTGTGGTGTAGGTGCCACTCCAGACTGGGTTCGCCTGTTCATTGTTCCCAGTCCTCAGTCTCTGGGGAGTGTAGCCACATGACAGCTCAGGCCAGGCTGAGGTGCTGGCCTAAAGCTCACGGCTCTCCTGGAAGGGGCTGCCTCTTCCCCCTGCGCAGGCAACCTTCTCCCCAGGGAGGGACCTGTGAAGGCAGGAGCACCCTAGGCAGGGCTGTGTCTCCGCAGCCCCTACAGGAGACCTAGCACCGGTACTGACCCTGCCAGGCCATTCAGGGTTAACTTTGGTCACTAGAAAATCATGGCCATCTGGGACCTGGCACATAGAAGACCTGTGAGCTCTGTGGTCATTGCTCTTTATCCCATCATTCCTTTCTCTGTGTCCAGGATGGGCGGAGGGTCACTGAGGAGGGAGACACCCACCGGTTTTGGAGGAGTCACTTCTAGGGCCACATGAGGCCTCCGGGTGTCTGGACAGATGACCTGGGGCTGGATGCGCAGCATGTGTGCTCAGCAGCCCTGAGAACCAACCCAGGCAGACCATGGCCTATAGCTGTGAGGCTGGCGGGGCCTGGAAGCTGGAGTGTTGGTGAGGTTGATGGGCTGGCAGGAAAGGCACAGAGCCAGGGCTCCCCTCTCAGCCAAGGCGAAAGCCAGCCCACTATGCTGCGAAGCCCGACTGGGCAGGGGCCCCTGCCTCCTTGGGGCTCCCTGGGCCTCAGGGACCCTTGTCATAGTGCGCTTGTGCTGTCTGGTCTGCATCTGTCCCTTGCTGTCCCCCACTTACTCTATGAGCCTTCCAGAGACCCTATTGGCTGGGGCTCACTCCCTTCAAGTCTAGTCCCTGTGTTGGGCCCATGAGGAAGGGCAGGATAGCAGTGATCCTGAGGTGGCTGTGGGGCTTGAGGGCACTCCAGGGGCCTGTGGGAAGGCTGGGCCGGGTGCCTGCAAGCCTGACGGGTGCCATGTGCTGTGCTTTTGTGTTCAGGCCCAGGACCCGAGGAGATGAAGTTTGGCTGTCTTTCCTTCCGGCAGCC